CCCTGTTCCCTGACATTCGGTGATATTTTTTCGGTGCTAGAACCCTTTCGGCCGAAAGCCGAAAGGGCCTTTTTAACCATTTTCGGTCGATAATTTTCGGCGGCCGAATATTCGGTGCATCCCTAATAGTAAGACCTTTTGTCAATGAGGATGTGAAAAGTACCCCACCTGGATAAGTGAAGAGACCATGGATTTCCCATCAGCCCCTTGGTTTGAAGGCTTGTGGAACTCCAAGTCAAAGTAAAGTTTACAAACAGCGCCCTCTGGTATCACCTCGTAGCAGTGCATCAAGGACTGTGGGTAAGTCCTGAACAAAAATCACAATGAATGCACATTTCTTAACACACGGAAGAAGATGAACCTCCTTTTGAAATGTTTATTATTTACCTGTAGTAATGCCACAGTTCACTGTAGCTGGTCACCAGGAAGATCCTTTGACCCAGGGATGTCTTTTCTTTTTCAAGTGCAAACACATGTACAGCCTAGGAAATGCAAAGTGCCAGCATCAGATTTCCCCTGACACACAGGATGTACAATCTTAAAGGTGCAGACCAATGACAATAAGTCTTGTTTTATTACTTCCTTGCAGCTCTGAGCGAAGCTGACCGCCATACTTTGACGAGGGAAGAGCTTCCAGATGGAGGACGGCTGGCACGGCCACAGCCGAGGTTTGTATTGAGCGGCCAGAGGGTTCAGCTGGAAGGACTGAGCGAGCTGCTCCACCTTCTTCATCCGCTCTCCCCACTTACTCATCTTGAATCGATTAACAACCCTTTATTACAAACACAGGGGCAACTTTTTCATTACAAACGGGGTCAGAGGTCAGCTACAATGCAGCACCTTCCTCGTACTGTTAGAAGTTTAGTGATTTGCTAAAGGCAACTTCAACAGAGTGGATCCTTGAACTTCGGTCCTCCTCTCATCCTTCAACCTGGTTTATATATAATAATAATCATAATAATCATAATAATATTATATAAAGAGGTGTGTCTGTTATTTACCTTAATCCCTGACATATACAATAATAAAATAATGTGTGCGCAATGCATAAAATCAAGACACTTTGAAAAAACTATATGTTCACAATAATCCTATAAAATAAGAAATAAACTGAATTCCAATCTTAAAATGTGACATATTTCCCCAGTGTAGTAATAATATCTGGTAACGACTTGGAGTCACTGGTCTTCATGAGATGGACACTTATAACATAAATAAGAATTTAAAAACAAATGCACCATTTTCATTAAAACGTTCATAGAAAACAGACAGTAGATACAAATACAATACAAATAGTTGTGTCCTACTTATCCAATGTATTAATAATCTACAATGCTGCATTGATTTTGAATCACTGGGTCACATTACATGACAATGAAGCATTTACATAAATGTGACTTTTCAATCAAGACACAGCAACATTTTCATAACAATATTCATATAAAATTGAGACAAATAATAGAAATGTGGCCTTTATGTTCAATCTAGTAACACAGTTCCCCATTGAGTCATCAGATCATATGATATGGAAGCTTCTGTATACAACGGAAATTATCTTCTTTAAAATTAGGAAATAATATAATTCAACGACCAGTAATCCATGTGCTACATAAAGCCAATTTATTATATTTTTTAAGAATAATTGTCACTAATATAGGCAGAGAGATATTGAAATAACATTGGTTTTGAGACATTTAAATAAATGTATTGATGGTCCCTAACCCTAACTGAAACGAACATCCAACCTTACACTGACTTCAACGCCCTAACGTTGACTTGTAATATTATTCACTTTAACGTTATTTTAGGTAGTGGGTTTAAGTTTGCCAGGAGTCATTATCAGTAAAGAGTCATCGGTACAACAGTATTGAGGTTACGTTACCGTTGTGTTTATGTCAAGTGTCCACTCCTCTCTCACATGTTGCAGACGACACACGCAACTATTTTCTTTTTGGCGCGTCTGAACCCGGAAATGGTGCCGTTTCCGGTAATAAAACGGAGTCGAAGCGGTAGCACCAGATTATAAACATTAACATTTTTACTGTCTTTTATTCATTTATTATTATATATTTTTTTGAGAATTGTTATTAAAATATGCAGCGTCATGATAGAAGAAAATAGACATTTCAAGTACATGCATTGTAAGAAACATACACGATAACTACTTCCGGTAACTGTCTTTAAAAAATAAAAGCCTTTTAACCCGTTAACTGCCAGACCAAGAAAAAAGCTATGAAAAAATATTTGTTTGCATTTTCTTAAAAAAATGGGCCACAAATAACCACAAACAATTTTCGTTTCTTTGACTGACCACACAGTTTTGTTTTTATGAGCCTCTACCAACTGGTCGAGCTGGCTTTCTATGGTAAAAGTACATTTTCAACAATCATATAGAGTAGGCTACAGTATTTGTATACATCAAACTCAAATAAAACACAAACTCAAATACATGTGTTTCTTTTATGGAATATGAGCAATATATACAATCAGATATATTCATAAAAGGAAATAAATTATAATTGTAAAAAAAGTAAAATGGAAAAAAGTAATGTAAAGTGTTTTATAATTTTAAAAAAAGACTTGCTCATCTTACTGTAGATTGAATTGGCCAAACAACAAACAGCTGGCCTAACAGCAAATGTCTATATCCTGTGATGGCCTAACTTGCTCATCTGTGTGCAACTTTGGGCTGAATGCCATGCATGAAAGGTGCTATATAAATTATTATCACTCTTTCACTCTGAGACTCATAAGGCAGTACTAGATTTAGTAATATTACCATGAATCAAGCCATTTATTTACCATATTTTATTGGAAAACATCTCTGAAACTCTGAAGAAATTATATTGCTAGCTTACCATAAAAGGCCAATTTTTTTTTTTCAACAAGATATCANTAAACACAATATAGTAAGTAGGGGTGCAACGAATGGGAAATTCTTGGCCGTTTCGGCATTCGGTTTTCGGCCAACTGTTTCCTATTTTCGGTATCGGTTTCGGCCAAGAATTTCCCATTCGTTGCACCCCTACTTACTATATTGTGTTTAATATATCTGTGTTTTAAGTAAGCTATATAATATATTTTTATAGTGATATAAATACCACTAAGATGATCAACTTGACATTTATATATCCAAATAATGCTTTGTAAAAGTATCCACTTGACCTTCTTTCAGTAAGATAAAGAAGGGGAAACAATATCAAAAATATAAAAAAGCATTTATCGTTTACTTTCCCCTCATATTCTTTTAATTTTGAGCTGAAGAGTTTTTGCAGCACTTGTGTGTGGCCAATGTCTATTAGATTTAGAGAATGTTGGGACTCTAGTTTTCTTCCAATTTGTGAGAAAATGCAGTAGTTTATTTTAAATCATTTAGATATATTATCTGTGTAGTTTATCTTGTTGCTTAGTATTTTAACCTGTCTGTGTTTTGTGTGTTGACAGTATCTATGCGACAAGTTGATGGAAGTTTATGGGATTGAATGCTCTGCAAAAAATATCCTCAATCTCGACTCCAGCACGGAGGACAAATTCAGTCGGCATCTCATCTTTAATCTGAAAAATGCAGCTTTCAAAGACAACTTGCATATGGGTAAGGTCAGTGTTTTGCATTGAGGTAACAACACTTGGTTGTTTACCTCAATTTCAATTCCTATATCCTTGTTGTTGTTTTTCAGGCAGGTTTATCCATTCAATTCTTCAATCGGTCCTGAGCACACCCAAAAGCAGCCTGAGCGTCGGGATGAATCCAGAGGAGACAAACTGCGAAACAGGGTCTGTGTTTTTAACTTGTGAAAATAACTTATTACATTTCTTAGCTACCATCATTTCGTGTAACTTGTCTTAATGTCATATTGGCAGCAGAGCAAATGCTGTGTCTGAAGGTACGGCAGCGACAGCAGGGCAGACGTCTGAGAGTCCAGAGGCCAAGAGGTGCAAGCAGGAAGAGAGAGACCTCAGCTTCCTCCAGGTGAAAAACAAAGATGGCCAACACTGTCTCTTTGTTGATCTTGGTAAGAAAATCATACGCTTTTATTTGTCATTTTTGAACCCAAATCAACAACTTGGGTTAAATGCTTCTCTTGATATACTCTGCAAACCTTTTAATTCTTTGTAAACATTGCCAGTGTGTACCTTTTTAATGAATACATATTTCTCGTTATATTTTACAAAAACAGGTGTTTACACCAAGAACAGAAATTTCCGCCTTTACAAGTCATCAAAAGTGGGAAAGAACGCTGCGTTCACGGTGGCAGACGACAACGAGTTCATTCACAAACCTGAGAAGGGAATTTCTGCGGAGGAAAGCGTGTTCTTGGCTTCTTTAGTCTGTAATATAAGGTAAAACACTTTTCATATGTTTCCTTTGTTCTATAAATATTACTTTCCTAAAGCCACATCCTCAGAGCTTGTTACTGTGTTTCATTAGCTTCACAGGTCAGAGAATTCTTACGTCAGACATCCCTGAAACAAAGAAATCCAAAACCTTGGGATCTACCCGTCAGCAGGAATCAGCCACAGACCCAGGTAACACTGACGACAGAAGCCTTCTCTCTACTATGCAAACATGCAAAGTGTATTGTACAATTAGCTCAGCCATAATTGACCTCATATGTCTCTTTATAAAAAGCAATATTTATTTCCCCATCCATCAGTGGCAGGCTCACTCTCGGGCCACTTGTCATCGCCTTATCCAGAAGTGGACAACTTTGTATTAACTGTGGTTAAAAAGGACGGCGTACATGGAAGTAAGTGTTTGGACTAATACATGAAATGCTTTTACAAAAAGTGGGTCACGTTCCAAACATTTTTGCATGTCTTGGTTAAAAAAGTGAACTAGAGCTGAATCCAGCTTTTTTTATTATTGATTAAACTGCCGCATCTTAATAAACTCATGATTGATCATTTTCATTTACAAGAAAAAATGTAATTGAACATGGATTGATTCAGTACCTGGCAACTAAATGTACATCAAAACGTAGTATATGGTCTTTGTCAGGAGTTTCCTTTCATGTTTAATTCAACAGGCATCAGACGGTGGAACTACTTTGCTGCTGAACAGCTGATTGTCTACGACATCGCAAA